TTTTTTTTTTTTTTTTTTTTTTTTTTTTTTTTTTTTTTTTGTGAAAATTAATGTTTAGCAGTTTGAGATAGAGAAACCTAAATCACAATTTATCAATTTGGTCCAATTTGATATCCAGATTTTTTTATTTTTTTTTAGATTTTTAAAATTTCAATTGGTCCCTGGCAATCATGCTAAGTCTTTATTAAATTCGCTACACGTTTTCTAATATTAGGTGACAATAGGTGGCTATTTTCTCTTTGATGAAATGTATCGGTTGAATTTATTAATATCTATAACTACTTAAAAAATGAAGAAAATAAGAACGGGTTAAAGTAGGTAAGAAACACCTAAACATAGCTCGACATTTCGAGACATGACATCCTCAAACAAAAAGTCAAAAGTTCAAATTCCCACTTTTATATATTATATTTAAAAATAAAAAATTTAACCATAGAGATCAGATCGATAATTAATTTTTAAAAAATATATATATATATATATTAGCCGTATATTCGAGGCTGAACAAAATGATAAAATTGTGTATCCCTCGACTAAATAAGTTAAAAGTTCGAATTTCTCCGCGTTCGACCTAAGAAGACAAGTATGGAAAGGGGGAGGGAATGGGAACAAAATCGTCCGCAAAAGTTGACTGAAGAAGACAAGAGTTGAAGAAGATACACTTAACTTGTCGTGCGTGAAAAGGAGTTGGAGTTTGTGAATTGATGGATTAATAATTGTTTGAATTCCAATGCCCATTGACTTCAAATTTCTTTGTTTCTCATCTTTTTGTTCTTTCTATTATTAGTCTTAGACGCCCATCATTTTTTCCATCAAAAGCTTCCCTATCAGACATTTATATCCTCTTTTATAATGCATAAAGAATGTGAATTTAGTCTGATATCGACTTAATAAAGGAAAAAATTCGTAGGTTCGCCCTGGTTTATATCTCGGAGTACTTCCAATCTATTTTTTAAGCCCATCTCGAACATGATGCAGTATGTACTCGTGACCCATTTTTCAAGCCCATCTTGAACAAATGATTAATTAGGATTGGTCTTATGATGAAATAATTCGGGTGTCAAACCTAGTCTTGTGAGTCGAAATAGAAAACACACGTGCAATCAGCCCACTCGAACCTTATGAGTTGAAATAGAAAACACGTGCAATCCTATCTCGAACTGAGACCACTCGACTGATCTCATTCACTGTCGAATTCGTGTTCTTTTATCTTAAAGTCATTCTCCATTCCAATTTTGAATAGCAAACGTATGCCAATTCTACCTAGAAATCTCTGAAGCTGAGCAATTAAACCCGCTTTTTCAGTAGATGAAAGACCAAAAACAAAAGTTCGAGGTAGAGGACCAATTAGACACTTGACGGAGGAAACTAGAAACGTGGATTAGATCGCAAATCTTCAAACTCGAAAGGCATTTTTATGTTATTTTAAGAAAGAATGAAAGATGATAACAAAGTAATGAGGAAAGAATTGCAGGGTAATGAATGTGTTAAATGGAACATGAACAAACTACTATTACATACAATATATTTTACAGCCACAGCTCTAATCTAACCAAATCCTATTTGAGTGCTTCTGCGCCCCAAAACTCTACCATCCTATCAGTAACTCAGTTACACAAACATGACAGCAACACAATGGCTGATGAGTTCCAGATCCCTGTAATTATTTCTTCTTTTGTTAACAAATTATACACGTTTGGTAGCCGACTTGCTGCTTCTTAGTTTCATCCGAACACCCGCTACTTATTCTACATCCTGTGCCATTGAAACGTTCTTCAATCCAATATGAGCGACGTTGACGTTGACGTTGGCATTATTCGATTGCGCATGATGGGTTATGGGTTACTTTGATCACAGTGTATGTAGAATAACTTAGTATGTTACAGACATGTTTGTTAGGACACTCCAGATCGTTCGATGTCGCTACGCTAGGTTGGTGTCTGCATGAAGAATCGTGACTCCTTTTTCGGGGTACTGACCTTTAACTTATCCTTTTCTGCAGCTTCCTTCTGTGCTTTCTTCTTTTCATAATCAAGCTGCTTACAGTTTTCTTCATGCGCTCGCACGAACATCCTCACGAAATTGAACAGTGTAGAAACAACTGATTACAAACAAAGTTGTTCGACGATTAGTAAATTCTATTTCTCGATCGGGACAATATAGCTCGGAGGGTAGTAGCAAATACCTTGCTCGAAAGGGCAACGTGCTGGATCTTCGCCGAAATAAAGAGCAAGTGCATCAGCATTTCTACCCTGAAAATGTCCAAAGTTAAGGGAATTTATAATGCTGCTTTCAAGATATAAATAAAAAACAGAGGAAAGAGCATCATACATACCACATTAGAATAAAGAAAGGCAAGAGACCTCACTTCGGCCTCAGCATGAGAAAGGAAGTTTTTTAAAGTCTGAGTATATCAAAGTAAACAATATGATATCAGCAAGAGGAGAAGCATCTACAACTCTTAATTTGAAGCCCTTCTTGAGCAAACTATTATAGGACTGTCCTTCATTAACTGCTAGAATTTACCTGACAAAAATTTTCTGAAACGTGCCCGTCGTTCTCGGAATTAGCCAATTCCTGAACGACCTTCTCCAGCCCTTTGCTTATGGCTTGCATTTCCTCTGCCAAATATTTCAGTTGTATCTGCATAATTACTAAACGATTAACTTCAAAACAACACTGGAAATTGGTCAGAACTACACAGGAACGAAAGAATTGAAGAAACAATACCTTTGTAGAAGCTTCCAAACTCACAAGGTCCTTTGGAAAATCTAAAAGTTCTGGCAGCTTTTCAGCAAGCACCTGTACTCAATCACGTAGATATCTTACAAAACAACATTTGCACGTATAAAACACGACATCGAAGTTCAATCCTCATCAACAAAACAACATTTCTTCAATTCAGCAAGTTCACTTCACCAGCCATTTAGATATATTTATATATATATATTTTCCTATGCGCGTGTTAAATGCTACCTTTATAAAGATCCGATAGTTGGATTGACTAATCTTTGTCACTATATTAGAACCCTTCCCTGGTTCATGCTCAGGGAAGGGTTCGTGCATTGTCATTTTTACTATTTACGCACGATTTACGTTGAAACTTCCTCACCCTGCAGAATCGTCAAGAAGAAAACAATGTATGTGGACTACACAAATAGCATCGACAATAGCAAATCATTTGTACTAAGTGCGGTGGGACGGGAGCGTGCTTCACTGGAAGAGAAAAAGGGTCTTGCTGAAATACAATTAAAAGAAGACTGCAACACTCTGAGTGCAAGCCTAAGAAATTATTTGACAAGCAAAATAAGAAATGTATTGAACAGAACAGGAGAAGTCTACCTTACATAGATAATGCATGAGAGTCATCTTGTTGTTCCTCGCTCGTGTATCAGTGAGTTTGAGGAGACTATCAAGCCGAAATCCAATCGCCGAACCTACATGAACAATAGCAAGAACCCATAAGAGCAGCACACTTGAAGTCTTGGTAATACCCGTCAAAAGTTTTAATAACAGAGCAGAAACTAAAGACAATGTTACAGAATCAGTAAACACTAACACTTGTTAGAAATATAATTCTTCATCGTTACAGCATGAATTTATTTACTTCTTTATAAACATCTTTAAGGCTTAAAGAAGTGACTTTATAAGTCAGATTTTTATCTAGAACAATTTATTAAAAAAATCAATATTAAATTCATAAAAGATTAGTACAAGTTAAAGTAGCTTAAGATTTAAAAGAAGTTGAAATTCAAAAATATAAATTATGAAAGTGGTGTAAGAACATGTGTAAATGGTACTAATCTGTGATGCATATATGAAAGGGAAAAAGACTCTCTCACCTCTAGCCGTTCCGTGGTTCAAAGCGTTACCCAACGAAAGGATAGTTTGCATTACCCTTTTCAACTTTACCGAACTTCTGATCTGACGAACACATTGAGAAAGGGTTTAAAATGTGAAGAAGTCCAAATTAATAATCATATGCACTAAAATTAAGAAAATTCAGATGAATATGACTTGCCTCATCAGATGTCGAATTGATAGTGTTCAGATTATTTCTAAGGTCAGAGGCCTAGAAAGTGAAAATAGTGAAATTGGTTACAGGTAGTATAAAAATGGAAAGAGGAAAAAGGAATGGAATAATTAAATGGATTGTCGCCTCACCTGCAAATGGAATTGTATCTTGAAAGAAAAAACCCTTAGCTTCGACTCTACTCGTGGGACTTTCATCAATTCTAAAAAGAACTGTTGGGGGGAAAAGAGAGAAGCAGGTTAACTTTTTTGTGGCAAACAAAATCTCAACAAATAACATGAGAAACAAAACATATAATGGAAGGGTTGATGTAACAGCCCAAGCCCAAGCCCACCGTTAGTAGATATATTGTCTGCTTTGGGTTATTACGTATCTCCGTCAACCTCACGGTTTTAAAATGCGTCTATTAGGGAGAGGTTTCCATACCCTTATAGGGAATGATCTGTTCCCCTCTCCAACTAAGGTGGGATCTCACAATCCACCTCCTTTGGAGGCCAGCTACCCTTATAGGGAATGATCTGTTCCCCTCTCCAACCAAGGTGGGGTCTCACAATCCACCCCCTTTGGAGGCCAGCGTCCTCGCTGGCACACCGCTCGGTGTCTGGCTCTGATACCATTCGTAACAGCTCAAGCCCACCGCTAGCAGATATTGCCTGCTTTGGTCTGT